TCTTTCAGCACCTTCGTTACCATTGAATCCAGTGTGGTATTGAAGTGTAACGATCCGGTATTTTTCCTAGAGGGATGTGCCATTTAAAGCGTTTATATTGCTGTCATTAAGTTGATACTGCAGTGGGAGCTAAGCACTCGCCGTGGCGATCAACCGCCTCCCTTTCATCGCCTAACCTGCGCGTGAGTAGGAGCAGGGAAGTGTTCACGCGGCAAAAGATAGGCCCTGGTCCAACGGTCAGGTGGCTTCCACCGCACTATCAGCTTAGGGATGAAGAGTATTGGCAACTTCGGCGAAATTGACACCGTGTAGCGCTAACGCCGCGAAGTTCCGAAAGGAGGTTGTTTTGCCACTGTCGTCTGCTTCCGCTGCTTGTTTCTCGTAGGCAACTTAGATTCGCGTGCTTGGTTATTGGGCCAAACTACGCAATCACTTTTCAGCGGTGCCACGACAGGATAATGGATGAACAAGGACATGAAAACATCTTAAGGGTGTGCGATTTCCTTCATCCGCGAGTTGAAAATGAAGGCCATCACGTAAAACATGTTCCCGTGCAAACTTTGTAATGAAACCCACCAAATAAAGTAGACTTGTACAACAAAAGTCGCCACAAAATTCGCTTCCACAGAAAAAAAACACGTAGTGGAAGGCGTAGAGTCTTTTTTTTTTTTCTTTTTTCAAGGATATCACAACCCAGTGTATTGAAAACAAATCGGCCATGTCGGATCTCATCACACAGGTTGTCAAAATTGATCACGATGGCGTGTTGATGGGAGGAAAGCACATTTTCACGCCTTGCAGAAACTACTTTAAGCACAGCTCTTTTTTTTAAATATTCATTTATAACTTTACAAATTTGGAAGTGCTAACACGTCATGCAATGCATCATCATTGCGAAAACAATATTCAGATTCTCCGCTTTGTCCAGCACCATTTTACATTCGCACAAACAGATTCATTGGAATATAAATAATCGTAAGTAGATTTTATTTCACATTCTTTGTGGTATAATAACCCATAAACCAGAACGCGCGACTACCTGAACATCTCTATTCCACGCTTTTTCCACATTTCTTGCCCACGTCCAGTCGAGTCGTATTTCATTTCGAGCTATTGAGGCCTCTAGCTGCTATTATAACTCGTTCACTTCCTTGCGCAAAATAACGTTACCATGGGCTTGCAATACTGTGAATTCGGTATGACCGGGGCACGGCGGCCTGATCGTAACAAGCCGCAACGCCTCGATCAGCTGTCTCAGAGGACGCGTTAATATGAAGCTTCTTTGCTGATCTTTTGAACTTATAAGATGGCAGTTACAAGTTGTTCGTACCCTAAAATCAATTGCACATGGTTACAAAAGTTCAACGATCTATGAAGTCCATTTGTTGTATTCTTCAGGCGTGAACCTGAGGACGACACTCGAAGTGCGTCGGGCAAAGCCAACGCGAACCCTCATCCGCACTTTGACGCCATTCCAGAAAACAACATTTAGTTGTTTTACAATAGCTGGCTACGCTAGGGGTGGCTTGGAGATATTTCATATCTCCAACGTCGCGAAATTTAGTTCCGCTATATTGAACCAAAAGCCAGCGTCGGCCCACATCGCTTAAAGTAATAATAAAATAAAGAGCGTCGTTTACAGTAATATTTGCTAAGCTGTCCGAGTACCACTTTTACGCGCTTACTAGAACTAAAGTCACTGGATCTTGGGAAAGTAGCCTCATTGCCTTCCCTACTTGCTAGCCGGACACAAACAGATACTATCATACAGACGAGCAAACCCTCGCAAGGCGATTGACTGTGTACGTTGCCACGGAAATCGACATCTCGGTTCATTTAAATCTTCGAAGCTTCCAGAGGTTCATTCTAAACCAGTCGCGCCAAGATCACCATGGAGCATCATCGTACTGGAACCGTTCCTTACCAATATGAGCGCCTTCGGCACTGTGTGTGCAATCAGCTTATCAACCACGCCCATCTCCACGGTTCTCTTACAATTATATTGGTCTTCTTGCGCATTGTAAAACAGTAAACTTATTTTTCAGTGCCTCCAAGCACCGACACAGCCTGTGGTGTGGTACGAAGATGTACGCTTGTGTCGCTGTTGTGTGGATAGCAAAATCTCGGCATACAAGAAACGTCTCCCTAATGGTACGTTTACACTTGCGGATCCGCCAGCGGATCCGCCCAGCTTTTGCCGCTGAGGCGAAACGCTGGGCGGAAAACGCGGCGGCGAGCCGTTTAGGTCCGGGATCTATTTCTGCCGCCGAACGAGGCGTTTCGCTGACCGGATGTGACATTCTTGCGCAGCGCGACGCTGCCTACGTCATGAGTAGGCGTTCTTCCGGGAGCAGCAACGCCCGGGAGAGACAGCCGAGATGGGAACTCTCGCGCCTTCTCGACACATTTGACGGGATGTAACGAGAACAGCTGCCGCAGCCGGCGCCACCGCCGCCGCTCGAAGGAAATAGATGTAAACGCAACCCGCTCGTCGCCACCGCCGCCGGGAGCGGATTTCTTCTCAGTTGTAAACGTACCATAAAGCTACCCGTCACCAGCGAATTTAGTTAGGCTCACCAAGAACGGAGGGGTCAAGGAGAAATTGCTCATTTCACGGGCCAAAATGGCTACCATACGGGGAGCTTGGCGCTGGTTTCCGAGGATCCAGTGACTTTAACTAGAACAAGGCTCTTACCGTTCAAATTAGCGCCTTTCTTTCATATCTAGCAATATTTCCTCTCCGCAACGCAAAACAATCTAAGGTGGTTCGCATACCGAACGATGAAACCGATTTCTATTCGTCCGCCATTTTGCCTGGCTATCGCGCCTCACTCAGATTGCTGGAGCTGTCAAGTGCATAAAAGATTTGGTGTGTTTCTTTCTCGCACAGCTTGATTTCAGCGATGGCACGCACCGATATTCAAGTGCACGCTTAGGAAACGTCCCCTGAGCTTGCCTGACCTACTCTCCGTCACTTAAGATAATCCCGGGTGGTCTTGTTTGCTCGAGGATATCAGCGCTCATACAGAGTCTATTCCTTTTGCCTTGAAAGCTAAAAGTGAAGTGCAGTACGTGTGCCCGCATAATTATATCGCGCACAGAAATGCAAATTGTTACGACCTCCTCGCGACCATGCGTTTGTGTTTACTACAGGACGCCCGCCTGGCGGCGATTGTTGAGACGAAACAAAGTGGGATCACTTAAGCACTCGTCAAAACATACATGACCACGAATCCTCGCTATCGACCCGATCGGCAACTTAGCAATAGAAGCGATAGTTCAAAGACTAAAGATGACTGCAATGCAACGATTGCTCGCAATTTGTAACGAGCAACGGCAGATCCGTCCTATTGTCTTTGAAAACTTCATATATAAGAGTATGTAGCCTGCTGTTGTGTTTGACCATAAAGGAATACCTTGGTGTACTAAACTATCAGCTCAAATCTTTGAAAACATTGCCTCTTTCCCGCACTGCACCGGCAAAGGCAGTGGTAAAGATATAACAAAGAATATATTGAGCATTCATTCGCGGGGCCGTTGCACAGATCAATTTAGTAAGCGCTTGCCTCGTGCTTGTCTTTGTTTTGTCCTCGTTTGTTGCGCGCTTTTTCAAGAGTCAGTACCGAGTGGCCTGACTTTCAAACTTTCAGCATTTTGACCCAAAAACAAAGCGGTATCATCACAGCAGCTTGGGCTAGATGATTTTCCATCTTATGACTTACGACAGCGCATAAACGCCTCACAAACAGGCACTCTCTCGATTACAGACACAAAAACAAACACACAACGCTGAATTCACAACTCTTTGTATTTTGTTTTCGTTTTTTTTCTATATATTGTTAAAACAAAATCTGCAACTGATTTATTCCTCGTTTTTTTCTCCGCCTATTAAAATCAATTCGTAAAATAGTCCGCGATTATCCTTTGAAGGTGAGGTAAGCTAATTCTTTTGCAGAAAAGGTGAGAGATGGGCTGCCCACGGGCATCCATCGTCAAGCCTGGCAACATGCTTCGCTTCAAGTATTTCCCTAGTTGGTTGTTGCTTCGGTCTAGCACTGTGCAACTGCGTAGTTGTGGCGCACACGCGCCATCCCGGCAGTGCAGACCTAGGCGTCCTGAGTTGACTCTAGTAATGTTATTGTGGTGTTCGCGAAGTCGATCGTTGAGGCACCGTCCAGTCTGGCCGATATAGCGTTTTCCATAGTGGAGAAGAAGGGAGTACATGACCTTTCCTGTGCACTGGACCAAACTGCTCAAGTGCTTCGTAGTGCAGCTCTCTAATATGTTTGAAGAAGCGTTCAATTTATTCCACAAGCTCGAGAGCTTGTTCGGAACTGAGAATACCACCTCAACGTTGACTATTTTCGCTACTTTTTTTGAGTCCATGGGACAAGTCGTGAATATAAAGCACAACAATAGGCCTAGTTGACCTGTCTCTTGGTGACGGTGGAGTGACCTTCCATCTTTTCATATCTTTGAGAAGGTTTTCTGCAATCAACATTAATAAGACATTGGGCTACCCTGCTGATCTTATGCGAGAAATTTGAACATCGAAGCTTGTTTTTATCAAATGCTCGCATGATTTGTTAAGTGAGTTTTTAAGGCATGGATTCACGATGTCTCTCTTGATCAGCTAGGAGTGCGCAGAGTGGAAGTGAAGTAGCGGCTTTTTTCCCCGTGGCTCATATGACCAGCACACGTGATCGCTTGGTACAAATAGTCGCAGATCCAGGAATATGGCGAATTTCTCGTCTGAAAGCAAGCGGGAAAGCTCCAACGGATGCATGCAGCCCGTGAAACTGGATAAAACGTTGGCCATCGTCGTTGGGAACTTGCAAGTCTCCACTGCTAGGAAGATCAAATAATCGTCGACGTATCGAAATATTTTTATTATATTCAGGTGTCTATGCTTTTTCACAACAATCTATCGTGGTGTGCTAAATAAAAGTCACTGAGTACCGGGGCGATACATGACCCTATGCATACACCCTTTTTTGCAGGTTTTTTTCCTTCCCACGTTGCAAAGGTGGATTGCAGATACAAGGTAATTAAGTCGATGAATTTGTCTTGGGCGATACTCGCAGCGTTCTGGAAGGCGATGGTACCAAAGAAGTCTATGCTCTCTTCGTGCAGTGTAAAAGGTTGTCTTAAGGTTTTGTTCCAAACAGGTCGCGATACATAACGGAAATGGTAAAGGCCAGGAGTTGAGAAAATGTAGTTAGTGTGGGTAGCTCGAAGAATCGCCGAAGTACCCCTTTAAGCAAAGAAATAAGTTTTGCCCAGAATTTGTATTTTTGTTTCACTTCAGGCTGCCAAACGACGCCGCCATCTCCAATGGACATCTCGACGTTCACGGTAGTGGCGGCACTCATCGCCGTAACGGCGGTGACCGCGGTCCTGTGGGTGCTGAATCGTCGCCATCAGCAGGGTCTGTTCAAGAGGCACGGCATCCCTGGGCCCAGGCCCGATCTTTTGAACGGCAACTGGGCGCAGCTCAAGGAAGACAGAATTGAGGTGGGCTTCGGTGGCCGGATGTGTAAACGCACAGCGGCTTCCGAGCAAAGTTCGCGTCTGTACCGCTGTACAGTCTGCAGACAGTCTGTACAACGACCCAGTCACATTGATCATACAAAAAATCTCTGCACAGATGTTGGAAGCACGCATGCTTGGGGCGTGTGCGCAGATATTTCTGTCATAACGAGCTGCGGGACTCCCGCGTTACAGACATCACGGCTCCATCACGAGGTCCAATTCTACACCAGCTGTCGATGTTCACACTACGTTTAAAGACCTCCGCTGGGCCCTTAATTGGATGCCCAGTATTGCTCGAGATCAACAACTCGAGAATGATTTATTTTCACCCACGCCATGATGCACCTCGATAAATTTAGCGCCCTCTGTCACAAGGGCGAGAATACCTGCGCTTAGCAGCGAAGAATCGAATTGCACCTTCAAAACAGATCACCTCTGAAGCCAAAGTTGACAGGGTATATGAGGTATGTTTGCATGCGTCGTTGACCTCGAAACTCAGAGAAAAAAGACAGGTGCAAATATTGCACATCCAGTTACAAGTTGTCTATTGTGTGAAATGTGAAGTGCACTTGCGTCTACTCCTAGGTCGTAACTGCTTTCGGTCATTGGACGTAAACTAACCTGCAAATTCCCAATGTGGCTCACAATCAACATTTCAAAACTATAAATACGACAGGATAATTTTTTTTCTGAGACCAGATTTCTGTTATCCTGTCTGTTGTGAAACATGTCAGGATTTCTAGGCTACCAGTATTTCAAGTAAAGTTTTGGGCATCAAATACAACTGGACTACACTATGCAAATAGCCCTTCTACAAGAAAGGAACAGGTCCCACGGGTGAATAGCTTCCCAGTAAAACCGTATAAGCACCCTTACAATCAGTACAGTGCGAGTTTTTGTTTAATAAATAATTCTTTAAATATGCAGGTTAAAATTGGACAGCGCGTAACGTTTCATATAAAACAGCTAAGAATTTTTAAAGACATTTAACATTATCGCTATTTTCTCCTTAAGGTATCTCAAAAATCAAATAATTAAAAACACCTTTAAACTAGAACTATTGAAGAAGTGCGCTTTTCAAGGAAGGAAGGACTGAATAGGAAGACAGAGGGCATATCTTAGGTAATTGTCCTGGTTGGCTACTTTGTGCTGGGAGAAAGAGATGGGCAGATTAATGGAGAGGTTTGAAGAGGAGAAGCATATTATAAAAGTTGTAGAAAATACGACTTTCGAACACAATGAAGACGGCACCATTCACAAACACTGAAGTTTATCCTTTACAAGCAAATACCCAGGCATGTCCTCGTTTGAAAAAAAAAAAGCTTTGTAGTCTTTGTTGTTGTTTTCTTTCTTTTTTTTTTTTTTTGTGCGACTCGTCTTAGACACTAAGCACATTTATGAAAAAGAGGGGTGGGTTATCCAGGCATGTAAGCGTGTTTTCGAGTCTACTTCTTTCCAAATCATAGACAGCACAATCGTACAAGATGTTATGAACCGTTTAATTAAATAATCCCTTCGGCAGTCTCACGTGGTGGCTTCTCCAGTCCGGTGAAGAAATGTTTTTGTATATGTTACACCAAGTCATAGTCTGTAAATGACTATATTTATCCTTCTTGACGTGTCGCGTGGAAAGTGATATAAAATATGTGGGTGTAAGGCGTAAATAGTACTGTACTTATGTAAAGCAGTACTCCACAAGTTTTAGTGATGACATGGTCATTAACGAACAAACGTACGTCGTTTGATATGCACCGCAAAACGTGTCAATCACCCTTTCGCCAACAGTAATTTTAAACGAGAGTACTCAAACTTACGATCTGCAGGTGTCCCACAAGAGACCCCTTTTGCCCGATGGAATCATCCTGCACCTCAGGCCACAGTTAAAATTGAAGGCATCAGAAAAAGACCGAGCGTGCCACCACCTTGTACAACTTACTGTGTCAAACACATTTTGCGATTATGCTGCTACTAGTCATGTTTATACCGATGAATCGACAACTTCTTATAGCTCAACTGCATGTATGGTCTGTCCTAATCATGTCACAAGGAAAACCTTTAAGTTTAGCTGCAAAATATTTACTTTTGCATCAGAATTGGTGGAGTTTGCCAAGCCCTTCAATTTTATCTAGTTGAGGGGGGGGGGGGGGGGGGGGGGGGTTCGCCGCCCTAACTATATGGCGTCCTTCAAAAGTCTGAACAAGCATTACTCAAGATGGAGCTGGAGCCTGGAGTAGACCCTTTCCAAAATTGCTCTTGGCGACAATGAGACGCTGCCTTGAGGGCGTTTGAACGTGCGGCTGGCCACTATGATCGGGCAAAGCGCTGCGATTATGTAATATGCGCCCGCGATCGGGGGAGGGGGGTCGGGTTTCCGCGAAAATAAGTCGTTTACAGTGTACTTGGAACAACTTGTTGCATCAAAAAGTGGTGACTGCCAGCAACCTTCCGTGTTATGTTTTCCTCCCCGACGTTTTATAATGGTTTTTCGGTTGCTTCGAAAAATGAATCACTCGAAAAAGAAAACAGTTTTTTCACCTGGAAGTAGTCAGTAATCCGAAAAACTGAATAGCTCTTACGCCACGCCCGAATAAAGTATCCTCGGGGATAACTGTGCGCGTGTTCTCGTAGCTATGATAGTTATTTTTACTGCGCAAGCTGTCACAGTGAATCCTCGTGCACGTGCGCATATCCTGACCTAGAGGGGTCATGAAACGTTATCGGGTTGGTGTGTCCATGACTCTACAGAGGCTTACTGGTCCTAGTCTGGCCCAAGTATACTCGCGCGGATCGCCACTGATTCAAAGGCATCTTGGTCGCGGTGCAATTACGAGAATAAAAGGTGGCTGTTTCTTTCAGTCTTGCCTTCGCAAATCTTGGTGACGCAATTGTGGAATCGAAACCACCCACCTTACGACAATCGAACACGGCTCATGGATTGGACACGAGAACTGCGTGAGCACTGGACTTCGGCTCGCCAATCAATGCCTCGGCGGACACAAGGGTAGTGGCTCGTGTCCAACTGCGGTGCTTACAACAATCGAATTCTAACAATGCCTGGAGCTCAGCACGCGTTTTCTACTCTGACGACCCCAACGCGTGGCTATGATTAACGTTGGCGGCGTTGGGTAGGCATCAGGCCGCGTTGCCGCTATCCGGCTCCGAGTTGAGTGGATGAATGGTGCTCATATTTCTCAAATTTATTTGCCGACTGCCAAGTTTATTTGGTTATTAACCTTAAGGAGTGATTGTGAGTATAGTAATTAGCGAAAGTAGAAAAATCGTTTTTGGCCCCTTTAATTTATTTTGAGCGTAGGGAGCGCGCCCTTAGCGGGTTGTGGTTAGTATTGATGATTTTTGTTTTTTTGTTCACAGCTGTATTTTTGTAGCAAAACAGTAACCTTCGTCCTGTTTGGGAGCCTATCATTCACGCCTTTCTGCTTGCACAGTGCCGCACAGCAGAAAACACGCATCTAAAAATGCGCTATGCGGGAACTACAAAGTATAGATCGTTTTATCGTGGGTAGCGCCATTTTGAGAGCGAGAGAGAAGAGGGCAAAGGGCTACCGGCGCTTCCCCGTTGCTGGTGCGTTAGAAAGAGTAAAAGTCCCGAATGAGAGGCTTCGCCAGTGTCGGGTGTATGCATTGCCCTAACTTCGTTCGCGCTTTATTCTCTGTTTAATCCACGGGCTTTGCTGCCGACAGTCCCCCGGTCATCGGGACACCACTCCCAGAGTGTGCGCACAGTTTGGAATCGGCGCCGTTAGATGGTGTGGCATTGTTAAGTTGGTCTATTGTATGGCTCAGAACGGATTACAAAATGTTTTACTCTTTATTTGTTGATCTTTAAACTAATAAATAATTGGTTACTCGGTCTAGCGTATAGGTTGACGACATTGTTAAGATATAGCAAATTTATCATTACATGTTTGAGGAACACCATTCCTAAGGCTACACACTTCGCAAGGCCTTAGCGATGCAAGAACAGTACGTTTAATAAACAACTCCCTTATTCGATTGTTTGGACTAAATTCAAATGCCCTTTGCTGCGATTGGCAGAACTATTGGAGGAGCCGGGAAGATGGGTATGCCTTCATCTTTTTGCGGATGTCCAGTTGCCAGCTACTAAATACTATATAAGTCATTGAAACGTGTCAGATATTTCTTATTCAATGGGAAATATGGATTCAAATCATATATGAGATAGTTAATTTTAAAGCAAAGCCGTCGGCAACGCCAAGATAGAGAACAAAACACGATGTCAATAAGAAGGGATATTCTTCATCAGGAAGTTATAGCAGCAAGTATAGTATAGCTTTAAGGTTAGTTTATAACATTCTTTGAGTACAAGTTGTCAGGGAGGCACTAACCTTTCATGAAAACAAAAAAAAAAGGCAAGATTATAGTAGATGCCCTTCAAAACACCACAAACTGGTCCACGTTTAACTGATCGACTGTCGGCGATTAATGAGTTAATCTATCAATCGGTAACCTATAAGAATATTTTCGCAGCCCCATAGTCTTCGACATGCTATCGGGCTATCGACATACACAAGACCGAGTAGGTCGATAATTAACCAGCTCGTTTGCCTGGTGACCTTGGCTACAATTGTCATTGACAGCTTCAGAAACTCAAAGCGTGGCTTAATATTGTCACGGGTGGTGACCAAAAGAACAATAAATAAAGAGGAAGAAATAAACGTTTAATGTGGCGAACTTGTGCCAAAAAGGGATGGGGTACAAAAGATAATAACAGAGCGTCACGGGCGTCGAAGTCGGCGTAACAGCAGAGTCAAACGCTGGGGCGAGAGCGACTCCCCGCTCGCCTTGCGGAATCCCTTATGTACCCCGTGGGTTTCTGGATCGTTCGGCGTAGAAGGTTCGGCGCGTAGAACATTCTAACCTCGAATCAGCCAAGACGGTTCTCGAATTCACCAGAACATCACATTACAGTGTCAACAAAAATGTGTAGCCGCGGCCAGGAA